TCCATTTCCATCGCTAATCTTAATCCAGAAAGGAGGGCTTCGTATTCCGCCTCATTATTGGAAGCATAAAAGTGAAGCTTCATCGCGTATCTGAGAGTGGTGCCATCTGGGCTGATCAAGATTAAGCCTGCTCCTCCTCCTTCACTAGTCGAGGAGCCATCTACGTAGAGTTTCCAAAGCAGATGAGTGGAGAATTTGGAATTTAAAGTGGAAGACCGGGGAGGTGCAGCCTGTGATGCCTGGGCATCCAGAGGTACAGCCTGTGGTGCCTGGGCATCCAAAGGTGCAACCTGTGGTGCAAGAGCTAGAGGTGCAGCCTATGGTGCCTAGGCATCCAGAGGTGTAGCTTGTGGTGCAGGAGCTAGAGGTGCAGCTTGTGGTGCCTGGGCATCCAGAGAAAGTTGTTTGGGCTCTTGGGGAGGAGACTTGGGCGCCTGCTTGAGGGTTTTTGTTAGGCTTCTTGATGTCTCTGTTGGGCATTTGGGGATCCTCATCGTTCCTATCTTCTGTTGGTGTGAGTTCAGCTACGAAATCTGCTAGGGCTTGTGCTTTGATGGCCGTCCTAGGTTGGTACTGAATGTCGAACTCCTCGAGTTCTACTGCCTATTTAAGAAGTCTGCTAGATACATCCGACTTTCCCAAGATTCTTTTAAGAGGTTGGTCGGTGATGACCACCATACGATGGCCCTGGAAGTAGTGTCACAGCCATCTCGCTGTTGTGACCAGAGCGAGTGCCAGTTTTTCTAGTGCTGAATATCTGACCTCTGCCCCCGGTATGCCCTGCTCACGTAATAAACTGGTTTCTGCACTCCATTGTCGTTTCTGATGAGCACTGAGCTTACCGCTGATGGGGAAGCAAAAAGGTATAGATGGAGAGTTTCTCCAGGGGTAGCATGTGACAGGAGGGGAGGTGCTGCTAGGTAGGCTTTGAGCCTTTGAAAAGCCTCCTCTGTCTCAGGTTTCCACTCAAAGGCTTTTCGGAGAGTTTTGAAAAAAGGGAGACATTTGTCTGCAGATTTGGAGACAAACCTATTTAATGCTGCGATTCTTCCATTGAGGCGTTGGAGCTCTTTGGTTGAGGAGGGTGACTTCATGTCAAGAATGGCCTTGATCTTGTCAGGGTTCGTCTCAATTCCCCTCTGATTGACCATAAAGCCTAGGAATTTACCAGACCCCACACCAAAGACGCACTTCTCAGGGTTGAGCTTCATGTGATAGGACCTCAGGATGTTGAAAGTTTTTTGGAGGTGATCAATGTGGTCTACTGCTGCAAGGCTCTTTACCAGCATGTCATCCACGTATACCTCCATTGTTTGCCGGATCTGAGACTGGAACATCTTGTTCACCAGCCGTTAGTAGGTTGCTCCAGCATTCTTTAGCCCAAAGAGCATGACCCTGTAGCAGTATGTCCCCTTTGGCGTGATGAATGATGTCTTCTCTTGGTCTGGGGGATGCATGCTAATCTGGTTGTACCCCGAGTATGCATCCAGGAAAGTGAACAACTCATGCCCAATGGTAGCGTCGATGAAGAGGTCAATCCGCAGCAGTGAATAACTATCTTTTGGGCATGCCTTGTTTAGTTCTATGAAGTCAACACAGAGGCACCACTTCCCATTAGCCTTAGTAACCATTACTACGTTGGAGAGCCACTCCGGATACGCCACTTCCCTGACTGCCCCATTATCAATCAATTTTCTCACCTCCTTGTCCATGGCTTGGGCCCTTTCAGTGGAGGCTCCCCTTAACTTTTGGCGAACAGACTTGTACAGTGGATCGACATTGAGGCGTGGGTAGCTACTTCCGAGTCGATGCCCTCAAGGTCCTCATGCGACCAAGCAAAGATGTCCATATTACGCTTCAAAAAATCAATCAACAGGGGAGCTAGCTCTTCAGAAAGGGAAGAGCCAATGTAAATTCTTCTGTCTGGGTGCTCATTTTCTAAGACCACAGGGATGAGTTCCTCAACTGGTTATCCTCTTTCTGTTGCGGAGTCATCCCTTGGGTCAAGAACCTCAACCTGCAATGCTTCTTGGGGCTTCCTAGCCTTCATAGAGGATACATAGCACTCTCTGGCTGTTATTTGGTCCCCTTTGACCTCTCCGACTCCATTTGAGGTTGGAAAGCGGAGAAAGAGATGGTAGGTAGAGGGCACAACTCTTAATGTGTTAAGAGTTGGCCCCCCTAATATGATGTTGTAGGCTGACGAGCATTCTATTACCAGGAAATTGACCATGACTGTGGAGTTTCGGGGTGTTACTCCGACGGTGACAGGAAGTGTGATGGATCCAAGGGGATGCACTTTTTCCCCTGAGAATCCAATGAGGGGTGACCTGATTGGCTGTAGCCTCTCCCTGCCCAGGTTGAGCTTGTCATAGGCCTCTGCAAACAGGATATCTGCAGAGCTGCCATTATCCACCAGGATCCTGTACACATAAAAATTGGCCACCGTCATGGTGAGCACCAAGGGGTCGTCATAGAGGTGCTGGATTTCCTCCAGGTCCTTGTCTGAAAAAGATATGACCTCGTCGCCTTCCTGCTTCGGCACCTTAGATGGGCGCATCTCGTAGACATGTCTTGCCTTCCTGGCATGGGCCTTCATCGCGAAAAGTGATTCTCCCCCACTTGCTAGTCCCCCTGAGATGGTGTGGATTTCCCCCACGGGCTGCTGATCTTCCTGGTTGTGAGGTTGTGGTGCTCGTTCCCTTCCAGCAACGTACTGGCGTAAGTGACCACGCTGGATGAGCTCCTCAATTTGCCTCTTGAGGTCGTAGCAATCGTCGGTGTCATGCCCGTGGTCATGATGGAAGCGGCAATACTTGTTAGGATTTCTGCGATTTGGAGGAGACTTCATTTTTTCAGGCCACTTTATCGCGGGATCATCCTGGATCTGGAATAGGATGTGTTCCACGGAAGCATTGAGGGGAGTGAAGGGTTGACGGTTCCTCTGAGGAGCAGGACCTAGCCGGTCCTTGACAGGGACTTTCTCTGTCCTGCCATGTTTGTTGTTGGTCCCCTTCTTATCATCCCTCTCCCTTTCCTTCCTTTCCTCCCCTGCTCTGGAAGACTTACCCCGCCTGGCCCTTGTGATGTCTTCTGCGTTTATGTACTTTTGGGCCTTGGCTAGCAGCTCTGGCATGCTCTTCGGTGGGCGCTTCAGAACTGAGAAAAGGAAGCTTGATGAACGGAGGCCACCCAAGAAGGCGGTCATCGTCACCTTGTCGTTGGGTTCATCAACTTGGAGTACCTCTTCGTTAAAATGAGTGAGGTAACTCCTCAGGCTCTCCTCGCGGTCCTGCTTTATACTAAGTAGGTGTGTAACTGGCTTCTGGTGGCGACGCCCTCCAATAAAGTGTGAGACGAATGATCTGCTAAGCTCGGCGAAAGAGGCAATAGAGGCGGGGGAGAGCTTAGCAAACCACTGTCGGGCAGACCCCTTTAACGTGGTCGGGAATGCTCTGCACATGATTTCGTCTGGTACGTTGTGCAATTGCATCAAGGTCTTGTAAGTGTCGAGGTGGTCTAGTGGATCCTTTGTTCCATCAAAGGTCTCCACAGATGACATTTTGAACTTCTGAGGGAGGGGGTAGTTTGCTACATCAGGTTTGAAAGGTGTATCAGTACACCTTACCAGGTGGTCAACAGTCTCGGGTCCCTGTGCCTTCATGGCGTTGAAGACATCACCCAGTTGATTCTGTACCTCCTTTATCTTCTCGTCCCAATGATTGGGGGCTCCTCTGGAATGATCATGGAAGTGACTTCCATGCTCCATGCTTTAGTTTTCACCCTCATCCTCCTGGAGATAAGGGTCCTCTCCTTGGGAAGCAAGGGGAGGGGGAGGTGGAGCTCCCTCATGTTGGGCTTTCTGAAGTGGGGCACCCAATGGGGCGCCCGGGCGTGGAGCAATAGGGCGTGGTGCTCCTTGATGTCCAAGACGTGAAGCTCCTTGGGGTGCTCCATGTTGTGCACCTCCGTGAGGCCCTCCATGTTGTGCACCTCTGTGTGGTGCTCCACCTTGGGGTCCTCCATGCTGTGCACCTCCGTGTGGTGCTCCTCCTTGTCCAGCAAGTATGAGTTGCAGTAACTGTTGGTTTTGAACAACCAGTTGCTGCATGGTCTCCAATATTTGCTGGGGATTCGGAGCTAGAGTATCCGGAACAGGGTTGGTAGGCGGGGGAGCAACCTCCTCCTCTCGTGGAGGATTGTCTTCATGTTGGTTCATGGATCGAGTAGTGATCGCCATTAGTTAATGGGTGTAATGTTCAGGAGTGAGAATTTTGTCGATTCCCACAGACGGCGCCAAACTGATGATGCACAAAAATGGTTTTGCACACCACCTGTCAAGTGTAGGTAATAAATGCAGTAAAATCAATGAAAAAATTAAAGAAGACACGATTTATAGTGGTTCGGTCAATTTGACCTACGTCCACTCTTCAATGGCTTTAGTTGCCGGGTATTTTATTAATTCAAAGGTATGGAGAATAGAGATACAAGCTTTGAGAGAATGGAGAATCAAAGAAGCAGTGGTCTCCGGTCGTCGGTCTGTCCCCCGTAAGTGTTGGTGGGGCGTGTCATTTATAGTTGTCTCCTAACAGATTGGGGTTACTTTATAGCAGCTAAGAGATCATTCTTGTGGAGATCATGACTTATCCTCAAGGCTACTTTATCGCAGCTAAGAGATCATTTGGTGGAGATCATGACTTATCCTCAAGACAACTTTATAGCACTAAAAGATCATTCTGGTGGATATCACGACTTATCCTCAACGGAAGGAGGAGGTTGGGGAGCTCTTCATGAAACGCGGTCAAAGATTGGACCGTTTTCTTCGGTGGTGCAGATAAGCTTCTCATGCTCTCCTCTTGATGACGTGCTAAGCAAAAAGTCTAACCGGTCTTGGACTGTCTTGAGCTTGGTGGATTCAAAATGAGGTTGGGCTCCTCAACTGGGGTTGGACTTTAACACATAAATTAGACTATTTTGGCTTAACCCATCAACTATATCAGAGTTGGACAAGTTTCGGGACTTGTTGACATTGATGATGTCTACGTTGACGGAGACTTTGAATTATGGGAATGAGGCCGCGGCTAGTGAGGCGTTGGAATTGTTGATTGAGTTGGCGGGCACGGAGCCGAGGTTTTTGAAGAGGCAAATTGTGGAGGTTGTGGGGACAATGTTGTAGATTGCTGAAGCTGAGAGTTTGGAGGCGGGTACGAGGCATTTAGCCATTGAATTTGTTGTTACATTGTGCGAGGCAAGGGACGGCTCCAGGGATGGTGAGGAAGATGCTATTGAAAAGTCCTTTTTGCCCATGGAGAGACCGTGTGCTTCGGATGTGCAAATGTCAGCCTTATGCTTAATTTAACATAAGGTACCCAAGAAATTGGACAATAAATTATTAAGTAGGCCCCTTCATAAATGATGAAATCACAAGAGAATCCTCGTCTTTTAAAAGCAACCACTCTGCACTCCAAACCTCATGTTACATTGCATGATCCAAGACTCCCTTTATCCACTTGTTATATAATCAAAAGCCTTCCCAAATCAACTAGACATTCCATCTTAGGGAAATCTAAAATTTAAGCAAGCATTGCACGTCTGGAACTTTGTGAGTAGGAGTTTTTATCTATATCTTACATGTTAAGACATGTTGGTCATAGCACAAGAACGTTTGCTTTCAATGCAATTTGGAACTTGAACATGGAGAGAGCTAAGTTGAAAAATGGACTGTAACTTTCAGTCATGATGATCTCAAACTATCTGTAAATCTTAAAATCTAGAACCTCAGTGTGTTGGACTCGATAAGAGATGGAGTGAAAATTTTTAACTTTGCCCTATTGACATGACTATAATTTGATACGAACTCTATAGATTTGTATTAGAGATTTTTGACAAAATTAACTAATCGTGTCTTGCTCAAAATGACTTTTTTTATTAATCATGTCGTATTGAGTTTATAATGTCAACCAACTTTACAAGTTTAATATGGAACATAAATTTGACCTTGACACGAATCCATTGACTTATGGTTTTAACATTTATATATATATATATATATCTGTTCTTTTCCTTGATGGGATCAATCCATGGCAACACATTCATTCTGAGTTTGTCATATATATGTTAACGGGTTTTTGAGAATTACTGTGTCCTTGGTTCGAATCCCAGTTGAAATGTGGAGATTTCCCTTCGAAGGAGGACATAGTTTTCACTTGGATGGCTCAAGTGTATGCTCAAGTATACTCAAGTGGTAAAAAATTAAGATGAATCGTAAATTGAAACGTTTTGTATTTGAATTTTGATAATTTTTTGGAACCAGATTATGAGAGATTTATCCCTCACGAATGTTTTAGTTTCGGCGTGATGACATACTTTTGACTGGATTGAAGAGAGTATTAATCAAAAAGTGCGTAAATTGGTCCGAACATCACTCGGCGTTGAACAAAAAAAAATTGGGTTGGGACTTGGGAGAGTGACTAGGCTTGCTTGTGCATAGTGTATTTTCATCATCTAATTATTTAACCTAAACTTGATGTTTCTCAAAGCAAACTATCTGGAAATATCGAGGCTTTTGCCTCCCAAATTTCCCTCATCCCCCAAACACCGACACAGTGTCTCAGCCTACGGGATGGCTGCTCCGATCGTCCTAAACGGTCCACAAGGACCACAAACATGCCCAACACCAACCACCCATTTTCATGATTGCATACACATCTCTAATACCCCAAAATATAGCATTCAACAGTATCACATTCTCTGTCACTATCCCTCTTTCTCACCTGCCTAAGCTAAAAGAAAATGGTGTTTTCATGTTGAGAGAGAGAGTCTGCAGTCTATGAATTTCATGCCATTGGTGATGGAAAAAGCATGGAGGCCTAATGTTGAGATATCTCCACCTTGCCCTCGTTGCGGTTCATCCAACACTAAGTTCTGTTATTACAACAACTACAGCTTGACACAGCCTAGGTACTTTTGTAAGAGTTGTAGAAGGTATTGGACTAAAGGGGGCTCCCTCCGGAACGTGCCCGTTGGTGTGGTGCCGGGGGGGGAAAGCAGGAGAGGGAAGTCGATTCGCCTGTCAACCGATGGTGTCTCCTCAAGAAGCTTGGCTTATAGGAGTACCCCATGCCCAAATGGGACTTCCTTGGATGATTTTACAAACTCATCGATGGGGCCAGATGGTCCAAACATTGATCTTGCAATGGTTTATGCCAACTTCTTGAATCAACCACCTGAGCCAGATACACAAGTACTTGATCGTATGCTTGAATTGCCTCGGGATATTAATCCATCTTTTGAGCTTGCAAGTGCGTCTTCAAACATTCAAAAGGAGTTCAGTACTCATCTTCCACAAGAAAATGGCATTGTTGAACATGTAACTCTTCCTGAAAGGTCCTCGGAGATTCAATTAAGTGACAGTGATTCGATATATTTGTTTGGGCTCAGGTCAATTCAGAATGAACAAGAGACAATTCAGCAGTTTTTAAGTACTAATCAGATGAACTATTCTGGGTTCCCATCATTGCCAGGTGAAGAGATAGCCTCTGAAGAGATTATGTGGTCAAATTCACATATCATGGTTCAGAACCATATGTTCCACGCAACACAACCACCAGGGAATGAACCAGAAGTTTCCAAACAAAAC